GGATGATCATTAATTGGATAGTATTTTACGGCAGTTTTCCGTGATTAAACTACCACAGTAACAGATACAATTAATATTACTCATTTTCAGTAGGCATCATCGGTATACAATTAAAATGTCTTACGAAGACAACAGCATATCTTAGAAATGTAAGACTAAGTAATTTATATACGTCCTACTCTTTCACTGAATATGTATATTTTGTATACCTGTATTGACAGGCTCTATCTGCTTTGGTGTGATATCGTCAGGTAACGTCGATTTTACTTGTTTGTTAGAAGATGAAAATGATATCCGATTTTCTAGTTTTAAAAGTAATCAAAAATTTAAAACATGTGATTATTATATGCGATACAATTAACGTCAAACTGTTTTAAATTCGAGCAACGGGACGCTAATATACAGTAGTTATAGCAAATTGCATAATAGATTGATAAATTAAGAATTGATATATACTTGATAACTGCAACAGTTACTATTAAGAAAAGAAATACATACTGTACTGTACTGTACTAGAGTTGACTGTAATCCGCAACAGCACAACCGGTATGAATGATCATCAGTACTGGAATGTATACTGGCTTCAATTAGCATGGACTCCCAGAAAAAACACCTTGGACTGCACCAGGGACTACTGCATGAAAAGGAAAGAAAGAGGGACGCAAAGCAGCCGTCAGTGCAAAATAATGTGCAGGCCTATCATTTTTCCCGTCATTCTACAGTACCGATGAAACCGTTGAATAACATTCATCATCTAAAGCAGAGCTTAGTGCTGTAACAGGCACAACTTAATTTCGAAAATATTAGTCAGTTCAGAATCGACTGTCTGCATACTAAAGTATGACCAAAATAGGCCAAATGTCTGTCCGTCCAAAGGAGTGTCCAGTCCAGGTATTTTTTTCTAGCAGCCCATAACTAAGGGCAATTGGGCATTCGTAACATCCCTTACGATACTAATTGCAACAGACTAAAATCACAGATGGTAATTACTGAACAAAACTATCGCTGGCATTACTGAGATCATGGTAGCATACCAGTAGAATCATTATTTTAATTCTGATTACATATAAAATTGAATGCATCAATTTTACCCTTCCTTTTACCTTGAGAGGTCGCTTCAGCTATTGGCTTTGAGCTTTGCTTTTCATCAGATTCTTTGTTTTGATTTTTCAATTCGTCCAATTTCTGTTCTATCCTTTCAGTTGCACCTTCTATCCGTTCAGTTCGGTTATCTGTCCTTTCAGTTGTACCGTCGATTCTGTCAGTTCTGTCATCAATCCTTTCAGTTGTATCTTCTATCCGTTCAGTTCGGCCATCTATCCTTTCAGTTCTGTCGTCAATCCTTTCAGTTGTACCTTCTATCCGTTCAGTTCTGTTATCTATACTTTCTAAAAGACGTTTCACTTTGTCACATAGTTCAGCAAAACAATCCGATAGTGAATTATTTTTTTCCGCAATTTCTTTTATCAATTTCGTTAATGCCTTTATCTTGTCAATGCTGTTATTAAAATCGGAGGCACTATTGAAAGTTTTTAAAATTTTTTCAATGTTAGCTTGGACTGGTTTCATAACATCGTCATTTAAATTTTGTACGTCTCTAATTATTTTATCAAACTTGGTTACTATGAATGACTTTCCGTCTCCTGAGACCTACTTTAATATACTTTGAGCCTTGTGTTTAAGATCTTCAACCGTTTCAACTTTGCACAATTGGGTCTGATATTCGGAGTTTTTATCAATAGCAGATGACTTCAAAACCTCGTAAGAGTTTTCAATATCGCTTGAGTCCTCAAGCAATGGTCTTTGGCGGAAGCCATATTTACAAATGTCACTTTTTCCCTGCAATTTGTAGTACTTTACTGTGTTTACCTCGACAATCCTAATGCCAATATTTTTAAATAACTTGGAGGCTCTGATCTTTTTCTTTCCCGGTAAAACTTTTAATTCACTTCCAGTACCTTTTGACCTACGATACGAATATTGCATATGTTCATTTTGTGTGCAGCAAATTCTTAATCCATTATAGAAATGTGAAGAGAACGACATTCTAGACCACTAAGTCTATTTTTATAGCGAATGCTACCCAAAATGGCGCAAAGTACTCTACAAAACTACGTATATTTATGCAAGATGTTATATTCACAAATGTACATTAAATTGCATAATCATAAGTTACAAGACAGCTGATAGCAGCTGATAGGTTATAAAAGCTTGCGCATATTGATAATATAATATAATAAATTATCCATCACCATTAAAAGACCGTGGATGGAAAATGCTTTACTCATATTTGCATGTAAGTACACAAGGGACCTTGCAAATATTCAATCAGCTATATTCAGGTTACATTTAGCGATTAATATATTTTAATTCTAAATAAAAAGTATTTCTAATTTTCATGAATTAGGTTACCAATCATTTCTTATAGGATTACCAATGCAATTCAACTAATAAAAACGTATCTTGCAGTATTAGGCCCAGCTAATTTTAAAACCAATAGTGCTGGAACTTAGGGTAAATGGTTTAATTAATGATGCACCACTGTACGAGTTTATATCCGAATTTTATACCACTTGAAAATTAAGATATTCCATCAAAGCAATACCGTAAGTAAACTGATATATGCCCCTGAGTGATAGAAAAATTGTTATGTAAACCGGAAATTTGGACAAGAGGGTAAAAACAGATTATCCTTGCTATAGTGCAATGTCGTACACCTTTCAATTGGCATAAAGTTTGGGATATATGTAGACTCTAACAGATGTCCATCAGTGTTTAAGCTATTTTCAGTAAATATCAAAGTTGCCGGTAGTAATACTGGCTAAGTTTAATGATCCTTTACAATGCCATCATGGCAACTATGCTCTTGAACGATGTGTTAAGCGACGAGGGCTACAAAAGGGTTAAGCAAGCATTCACAGCGGGACTACAGTACGCTTGACATAGTGACGATAAGAATTCCATTGCATTTTTTTATAGTAGCTAATGTGAATCAAAAACATTCCCTTACTAGAATACTCACTACTAAAATAATGTTAGAAAAGTTCATATTGAGAGTAATAAGCAAAGATAATCCAAGTCAAACATGTACGAAAATTTAAAATAGATATCGTGTAGAGTTTCTACGATATGAATTTAGAAATTCAAACCGCCTTGTTGCGTAAATAATTAGTGAAACACTTGGAAAGAAAATCTGTTCATACATACAGGCAGGAATCTATGTTTTTCTTGCTAAAAACAGGGCAGGCAATACTTTTGATAGCAAACTTAGCTAGATCAGCGGGCGCTAACTTGTCTGACGATTTATTTTCTTCCTTTTTCACGAAGGCTTTAATAATAGCATCAGTCATGTCATCAGCCAATTTTTTAATATAATGATAATCGCTTTTATCAGAGATATAAGATATTTGTTGTTCAAACATGAACAAGATTTCCAAAGCCATCATTGAGATTGCCAATGTGGTATTATCATTATTGGGCGCTATTTCGTCAATAAGTTTTTTCAATTTCTTCCTCTTGCATTTTTGGAGCCACCATACAATACCATCGCCCAACAACTGCATTATGCTGTTTGCAGTAGCAGCACATCTAATAACGGTTGGTGTTGCATTTGTGGCTGCCGTTGCTACATCTGAAGCCGCGCTCCCCGCGATATCAGTAACAAATTTCACAACTTTTCCTGTTTTGCCTAGTGGTGCACTCTCTTCGTTTTCTACAACTTTGGAGGCAATTTCCAGTTTTGCAATGAATTTGAGTATAAAGTGCTTCAGAAATTGTTTGAATTTCAAACCATCGCTATTGTTAGGATCATCCAATTCTTTTGGCCAATTGCTTATAGTTTGTTGGCTTGCCATTTCTATTGAGCAGGAATTGACACGCAGGTTCTCTTATGCACCCACTTCTATAGAAAGTCAATAATACGAATTTGAAGCAACATGCAAATGAAAGCTAGAAATGCAGTTAAACTGAAGATAATTAATTTGTTGAGTAAAACACTTATAAATGTAATAGTAACTTTTAACTAGATAGTTTGATATTAATAAGTCGATGAATTTTCGCTAGCTTGATAATTATATTGTTACATAGTACTTTGAAATGCAAGCCAAAAGAGTTAATGTCAATAGATCATAACATTAAGCGTCCAAGCATAATCTAACAAGTATAATTTCATAACGAATCATATGGGATATTTCTCTACTGCTTATTATCGATAAAACAATTTGAAAATCTTAGACTGCACACTTTCTTGAAAATCTTAGACTATTGACACTAATCCGCTTCATATTTTAGTTGTGGACTACACCCTGAACTCACGACTCGCTCGCTATTCTACTCAAATCAGCTGATTGAATTTATACAGCTAAATATCCAGTGTAACACACCATCACCGTAAGCATCAATATTTCCATAAACATGTATCATCAGGGACTACTGGAAAACTTTTCAGTTATTCCTGTTAATTAATACTGTACTCAAAATGGATACAGAACAACCTATCATAGCGTAGAACTAGCTATATATATGTTATGTTTAAGACGATGAATTTGCAATCTAATTTATTACGCTAACACATTAGCTCCAATTTTTGATGTCATCACGCTTCCTTCAAGCAAATTTTTGGCATAAAAAATAAGTAGAACACTGTTCCGTCTAGGATAAATAATTTGCGACGATTTTAGATACGTATACAAGAAATCATTATGTTTAAGATGATAAGTTTACAATCTAATCTGTCATAAATAAGATCGATTTGTGAGTAATTCTAAATTCGAAATCACTGCATTTGCTTCGTATCAGACCCACATTACTAAAAATTAAGTGGAGTATGATATTTGAATTTTAGGATAGTGGGTAGAAGAATATAGATTAGGTTATTGCAGTTGTATCGTCTGCCAAAGTAACAAAATATGTATTTACAACTGAAAATAATCGCAGTCAACTCACCTCCCAAGTTCAAGCATTATTCTCTAGAAGTAAATCTCTTAATAAACGATACACCTAACTGCGATTTAAGAAAACACTAATTTGCAAAAATCTAGAGTATAATCGTGTTAACTATGTAGTCCTTTTTATTATGATACGCGTACACGTATCATTTATTATCCATCAATCTAATCTAAATGAAGCAATTTCCGGTTTGTGAAGTGAAACGCTTTAGCCATATGTTTACTCACATTTAGTACGTATATTTAACTCGTACAATGTAATTAACCATTAGCAGATTTATTTCTTCATTTATCCCCATTTATTTCCTAAAGAGATAATGTAAGTCAACGAGAATATAGGTACCTATCCATGTGCTTACAACTTCACAAAATGATACTAATCATATTCGCTGAAACTGACGGACTATACAGTCTAAGCTCCTAATGATTCTTTATAAGCCGTTAAAAGTAAATTGTCTGTAAGCTATTTAAAGATCAAAGAGATAAAATATCAGCAAGAACAAGTAATTTTTATCTCTGTGTTTCAGATAGTGAGTTTGCAATTTAATTTATTTACGCTAACACATTAGCTCCATTTTTGGATGTCTTTACGCTTG